CAGTGATTTTTAATTGTTCAGGTTGATTTTTAAATAGATTTTCTTTACTTGTTTACATTTTTGTGAGCACTGAACCCAGTTTGGATGTTCAGTCTGAAGCTGATAAACGTCTATAAAATGAAACTGTAGGTGTCCTGCACACAGCGCTTCACCTCCTCACTGATGCTGCATGATTATATTATATCCTGTTTTCTTTCTTCAGACCACAGTCTGCAGAGAAGTCATGCACATCTGCACATGCACAAGTGATGCAAACTTTTTCATCAATTGTGAGCAAAACATCTTTTGTTGTGAATATAAATTTGTATCACTTAAACTTACTGGGCTTATAGCAGTTTTGTTGAACAGGCAGACTGATCTCAGAGCTGACCAGGTTGGAAACATTGCAAGAGAAATTAGCGTTTAGCACATCTTTGGCTACTCTGGTCAGCGTCTTCCCTTTTTCTTCCAACATTTCACCATCCATTAACCATGTGATCTTCTCATTCTGTGGAAGACAATGTTATTTTCAAGGAGTGTGTGTTTATTGAACTCAGGAAAAAAAAAGAAAATATTACTGATCACGGGGCTGATAGTTTATCAGAGTCTCAGCAAGTGAACTTGAATTTAAAGAGGATCAGGAAATCTCTAGAAAAGCTATTAAGTTGTGACCTGAGAAAAAGAGAACGGTCATCCACAGCAGCCTGCCATCATGATTTAACTTAACCTACCTACACTCTGGCAATCGGTAAATGGGCTGGTTCTTATTCTGATTCTCCCTTGTTGACATGTTTGACTTGTTTGAAGAATAAGAATAAGGATAAGTAAAGAAAAAAAAGAACATTTTACTTACCTGACCAACACTGCAAGTAAAATTGACATGTCCATTATCTGTACACGTCTTTGTCGTCACAGTGGGCTTCTGCACACGGTCTGAGTAAAGCAAATTAGATTATATCAACAGAATATTAGGCAAGGCTGATAACACATTAATCTAAAAAAGAACAAGAAATATTGTTGCATGACAAATCTGAGGAGTGGCTTCAGTATATTAACATTAATATCTTAATGTGTTTGTACATACATTTGTTTTGGTTAAACTATGTATTTTTACCTACCTAATACACACAAATGCACACTCTGTAAGTTTCCCACCACATTTATTCCATCTTCATTGGTAACCTCTGGTCCGTATCGTCCTGACTTGTCTTTGGTGAGTTGTTTCAGCTTTAGTGATCCAGTTGAATCAACATCATCATTTTTCCCCGTGATCACCAGTTTCTGTCTGCGATAAAAGATTATTCTTGTGTCCTTGATCCATTTCAGGTTATCTGATTCCTTCAACTCATATCTAAGTGGCACAGTAAAGGTTGATCCTGTTGCAGCGTACACACAATCATCCTGAGAGCCTGAAAGATAAAGAAACAGAGAGGAATCTTGTGAAAAAATAAGAATAGTCATACTAGAAAAGTCTAGTTTTCATCAACAATCATATCTCAAGTTATCATATTTGAAGGAAATTATTATCTTCTTTTGGCTTATGAACTAGAAAACCTTTTTAGTCAGGAAAAAGACAAAATATGATAATAAGAGGAAAGAGCAGCACAATAATCAGCAGCAGCAAATCATAACAATGATATTGGCAAAAACTGAAACAGGCTATGTTCACATAGATATATTTAAGAGATATATATATTGACAAATAAACAAAACAGAAACATGGAAATCTAAACT